TTCAGCGTCCTGTACGTGGGCATTTACTATGAGCAAAAGCGAATGTCGTCGATATGGAATCGCAGGTCTTGCTACAGGTCTTGCTACAGATAGCTAGCAGAGCTTGATCCCTGTCGCCACGCTGTGGTAAAGATCTGGCCCCCTGATGCCGCGCAAAGCTGGAGTCTTGGGCATAGCTGACTCTTCCCACGTTGATCGCCGTGCTTGACTGCTTAGGTAGGTAGTCGACTGCGTCAGATTATTTCCCTAGGATACAAAAGGAAAATACGACCCTGAGCAAGACATGGAGTTGAGTATAGATCCAGCTATAACGAAACTCACTAGAAAAATCAGGTACTCATTGATGAGCTTCTCCCGTCTCCCTTCTCCTTGACTACACGGAGGTTAGTTTGCTACCGGGCTACTTACAGGCCCCGACCCGTGGGCACGTTTCAAGTTTTAAAGACCGGCTGAATGGTCTACATTGTTGCAATTTGAGTAGGATCTGAACGTACCTGGGTACAAGGTCTGTTGGTGATTGAATTTACATATCGACTGCCTTTGCAAAGTGCCAAGAGGACGAGATGATTGATATGTATGACATGTGGACTCGCTCACGTTATAGATTGATCCTTTAGTATGCTCAAATTAGATACATTATACCAGTCGAAAGCCTTAATGCTGGTGGACGGTATGCTGAAGGATTCAAGCATGATGATGCTGATGATTTGCCAAGATTCGACGTAAGCGGAAACAGTACTCTGGTAGAAGCGATGGGCGCTGTTCATGGCGCCATACAATCAGTCCTTGCCATTGGATCTTGTACCAAGGTGTTCTAGATTCTGCTGATCCGTCCCTGTCGGGAATAAGAGGTGCAATCGTCTTGGTTGAAAATTTACGGTTATCTTACGACAACCCGAATTAAGCTAGAATCCTGACGTCGCATCCCTTCCACTTTGCTTGGGACCCTTGTAATTACAGCGGTATCTGGGTACATAGCACGGGAACCGCGAACGGACACGGCGGCTTGCAATGATACACTCCCGACTTATCAATGCAGGTGTCGTATCTTTTTACCGCATTCATACCGCATTTATACCCCCTTGCGTAAATGCCAACCTAGATTAGGCGACACAAAGCAGTGACATGACGAACCTATTAAAATGACCGACTCCTTTTGTCGCCTTCGCGGCGGCTTCTGAGGCACAGTCCCGTCTTCCAGACTCTTCAAGGCTGTACGCATTCCACCCTCGTTTTGGCGGAGGCCAACTCTAGCCCATCTCTAGCCCCTCTACGTTCGTTTTTACAATGCGTGCGAATAACAAATCTTGGTTTTCCTGTGGCCAGCAGTTAGGAGAGTCTTCCATGGTGCTCCTGCTGCGTCGCCTGCGCTGGCTGCTTCTGGCCGTCGTCCTTATCGTGACGGTCTTTTCGCTGTTTGGCGACGTCAGATCGCCGTTTGATAGACCAGTCCAACAGTCTTTCGGGAATCCCACAGAGCAGTCGGCCCAACCCAGTTACCCGGAGCTTGTAGAAGACGCCTGGATTTTTGATTCGACAAGAGACAGCCTCAACTATGGCCTTTCTGACGATCAGTGCGAGGTAAGCGATAGACGTGATAGATTCCTATGCTAGGATTACAGGCTCTTGGAAAGCCCAACGCTTATTCTATGGTAGAGCGCATTCCCTGATCTATTCCGAGAACTCGACCGCGCCCGCGATTTTCTTCTAGATCAGAACCGGCGCATCAAGGAGACGGACATGCAACTGGACACGAAAGACGATTACACTGGTCTTTCGCATGGCGAATTCCATGCCATGATCTCCAACGGCGAACTGTACGTGATCAAAGAAAAGAAAGGCGAGCCGGATCGATCCCGCGGCCTCGCTGCGCTTGCGAACTTGTATCGCGCCATAACCGCCGTTCCCGACCCGCGATCGCTTCCGAACGTCGAGTTCATCATCGACATCGAGGACCGCGCGGCTAGAGGCGAGAAGAACCCGAAACGTATCAGATGGGCTTGGGCGCGCCAGGAGAACAATCCCTGGTTATGGGTTATGCCTGACTTCGACGGATGGAGCTATCCTGATGACGGCGTGGGATCCTACGTGCAGTTCCGCGAGGACGTCGAAGAGCTGGAGGCCGAATACCCTAACGGCTGGGACGACAAGGAAGCCAAGCTATGCTGGCGTGGGAGCTTGGCGGTGAACCGTAAGCTACGAACCGCATTGATAGAGGCTGCAAAAGGTCACGATTGGAACGATGTCGAAGCCATCGATTGGCATAACCGCACCAACGTTATGGATATGCGAGAGTTCTGCCGCTTCAAGTATGTCGCGCATACCGAAGGCAATTCCTGGAGTGGACGGCTGCGATACCTGCACAACTGCAATAGCGTTCCGATCATCCACAAGCTGGAATATGTGTTCCACTACCACCCGCTTCTCAAGGATAGTGGGCCTCATCAGGTATCTATCAATCCATCCCTACTCGACTACAAAGCTACTCGATTACGGAATCCAGCTAACGATTCGTTCGCTAGAATTACGTCAAAGTCAAGCGCGATTGGTCAGACCTCAAGGCTCAGATGGACGGCCTTATTGCCGACCCTGATCGAGCGCGGCAGATTGCTCACGAGTCGACAAGAGTCTTCCGAGACCGCTATCTCACTCCTGCTGCCGAGGCTTGCTACTGGCGCAGAATGATCCGCAACTGGCGAGCAGTGATGGATTTCGAGCCCCGGCGATACGAGACCAAGGAAGACGGCACTAAGGTTAGAAGAGGTGTAAGCTGGGAACGTTTCGCCTTTAGACAGAATCAGAGCTTCGAGCACGGCTTTTGGGAACCTGACAGCATTAAGACCGAAAAAGAGTGAGCACATTCCTCTTTACATCGATCGGAAATAGACAATGCGGATCTCTACCACCAAAGCACCTAACCGCGGTTACGGACTCGTACAGCCCGGGCGTCTTTACCTCAGAGAGAGCCAACGCGACCAAGGCGAGTCGGTGAAGGATTAGTCGGCACGTACGGTTGCAATAGATGCGACTGCGCCGACAGCTAGGCCGACGATTAGTTTGCGTCCAATGGGCTGGTGGTCTATCATGTGCTATACCTAAGCCATGAACGCGATGAACCTGATGTCGCGGCAAACACACGGTACCATGTGGATGGGAAGTGCGTTGCGGGCCATTGAAGTCTCATTAAGGTCAAGATAACGCGCTTCTGGACGGCGGCTTAATTAGATCTTGTGGAACTCTTATAATTAATGAATACACCAGTGCAACATTGGATGACACCGCCTCTCCGAACACAGCCAGATTCGGCTCGTACTCCACATTTAGACAATACCATCAAATGCAGCTCTGCCTTTCTAGAAACCGGATCATTCTTCCGTGAGGTTGTAGATCTTCTGAATGCTATGCAACACGGCCTCGTGATCCACCTTCAAGTCTTTAAGCAGACCGTCCTCGAATCCGAACACCCATCCGTGGACTATGGGAAACTGGTTCTTGGCGTACGACTGCTGCACGGCTGCCGTCTTGATGACGTTGCGGCACTGCTCGATGACGCTGAGCTCTACCAAGCGGTTGTAACGCGCCTGCTCGTCCTTGATGGTGTCCAATTCTGCTTCGTGGAGGCGGTAGACGTCGCGGATGTTCCGCAGCCACGGGTTGAGCAGTCCCAAGTCTTTCGGCGTCATGGCCGCCTTGACGCCGCCGCAGCCGTAATGACCGCACACGACGATGTGCTTGACCTGCAGATGGCGGACCGCATACTCGATGACGCTCATGACGTTGAGATCCGTGTTGACGACCAGGTTGGCGATGTTGCGGTGGACGAACGCCTCACCCGGGCCCAGCCCCGTGATCTGCTCCGCGGGGATGCGCGAGTCGCTGCAGCCGATCCATAGGTACTCTGGCGTCTGCCCCGAGGAGAGCTTGGTGAAGAAGTCGGGGTCCCGTTTTCTCTGCTCCTCCGCCCAGCCCCGATTGTGCTCGAAGACGCGGTCGTGCGTCTGCTTGAGATAATTGGAGATCTCCGACTGGGACATGGCGCGCCAACCGTTAGAGCCTCTGGTAGAGCTCGAACTCGAATATCGTGGAAAATTGAGCGTCTGCTGAGGGCTTCCTAAGCTAAAGGCTCGTCTTGTGGATGAGAGAAGACAGCGACCCAGGCGTGCTCTATGAAGCATCGAGGCTGTCATGAGTCGGACTGTGGGGGGGAGGGATATACGGAAGGAGCTGTAGCCCGCGATAACCACAAGATTTGTTGAGACCGCCGAGATTGAAGAGGCGTTAGAGGCGTCAATGGCGTCAATGGTGGGGGAGGGGGATCTACGGAGCTATCTTGTGCTACATTAGTTAGTTTCCTTCTCACACTGTATTTGTTCTATCAATTATGCTATGAATTACGTAGCCAAGTTTCAGCTGCTCCTCTCTCTTTCCCTCTCCGGAACGAGGCCGTCACATCCTGCGAGGTACCTATTCGCCTTTTCTAATCTGGCGGTTAGACAACTTGACAGTATCTGACCCAAGTCGAGTTATTACTGGGTAACTGATTTGATGACTCTAACTATTACCAGATCCCGTTCGGCTGCGTCTAGCCAAGGGAAACTAGCTGCTCTAGTATCATTCTAAGCGCGATGAGGCTCCATCATGTTAGCTTCGCGGATAAGTCGAACTCGATGGCCAAACTACGATTTGGTGTTAGCAAGTCATACCATAGAGATATTGTTCCCCAGCGTTTGCTATTATGGCGAAAGCTTGCTTTTACAGTCATCTTGTGGCTTTAAGTTGCTGAACAGTCATGAAAGATTCGTCTTTAAAGTCAGTCTAACGAGAATCCAGAGGCAGGACTAAACCGGCGCATTTCTTGCCGGATGAGACTCCACTTAGTTCGCGATATTATGATAAACAAGTCCCAGTAATTCGGAGATGATAAGGGCTAACAGCGTGCTAAAGGTCACAGAGGATCAAAAAGACCGCAGGCTCCTCTCGAGGAAAAAGAATTAAATAATCTGCCCATCCTGGGGTCGAACCAGGGATCTTCTGATTTCTCTGTGAGTAACAGTCAGACGCCTTAACCACTGGGCCAATGGGCAATGAGAAACTTGCTGCTTCATCTGTTTGTATTTTAAGGTCGGTAGTAAGTTATTATAACCCCGGTGTCATGATGTTTGCTCATTAATGCTACCTAGGTTCTTAAGACATCGCCAAACATGTATACTTTAGCCTATGGCACTTCAAGCGTACCCGTCTGCCGAATGTCACGGCTACTTGCACCAACGCTGATGTTGAAAGTGCCCGCGGGAACAACCCAGTTTTGCTTCGCCGTGTCCCAGACACTCAAGTCCCGTCTCTTGATATCGAACCCTACTGCATCCGAGGCTCCAGGCTCCAATACTAGTTTATCGAACCCACGAAGCTGCTTCGGCGGTGTTGCTGCAGACTCCGGGTAGCTTACGTACAACTGTGCCACCTCGGCTCCCTTGACAGTTCCCGTGTTGGTGATGGTGACGGTAACTCTTAGGACGGTCTCCCAGAGATCTGCTCGGCCTCCAGAGATGATTTCTCCTGTGGCAGGGCCGGATGTAGGCCTCCCATCAACGAAAATATCCGAATAAGTGAAGTTCGTGTATGCTGTGAAGGAAAGTTTAGCAACATGTATTTGAACAGCGGGATAAGAATGAGAAAAGACAACTCACATAACCCATAGCCAAATTCGTACCGAGGCTCGATGCCCTCATGGTCAAATCTGCGGTAATCTACATAAAGACCCTCCTTGAAATCGTCATTGCCTGTCACGACGCCGGTGCCGTAATCGTTGGCGGATTTGGCAATGGTATAGGGCAACTTGCCGGAAGGACTGGTATCGCCATACAGGATATCGACCAGCGCGTTGCCGTTCTCCTGAGATGGAAGGCCAGCCCATACGATCGCCTTGACGTTCGGCTGAGCGAGGATGGTCTCGAGGATCACAGGGCCCACCGAGTGTACGACCACAATCACGTTTTCGTTAGCTGCTGCTACGGCCTTGACGAGATCGTTGCCGTTGTGCCACGGATCGAGATTGTTGCGATCGCCCACGTTGTTCTCCACCGTGATGTAGCCTTCGCCACTGTCGGAAGTGATGAATACAATCGCGGCGTCAGCACCGTCTACGACTGAGCTCACGGAGCTGGTGCTGTCAGACGAGGACAAGCTGATCTGGGTGCCGTCGGCTTGGGCCCGGGTCTTGATAGCATCAGCTGGGGCGCTGAAATACGCGTAAGAAGCTGTGCCACTGCCCCAGCCCATACCGAGGGCACCAGTATTGCATCCCTGGTCAGTGCAAGAGTTCATGCCCTGGGGATTGACGACGGCAGCGGAGCCGACCAACCCGAGCTTGCCGGGCTTCTTTAGAGGCAGAATATCCCCGTCGTTCTTCAACAGGACGATGCCGTCTCTTGCCGTGGCACGGATGTTGGTCTTGTGGGTTCCTTGCACGTTTGCTTTGAGATTGATCGCAGGATAGCCGCTATCTTGGCCCAGCAGATAAAAGGCCGCAAGAGTGCGGCGGACCATATCGTCTAGACGTGACTGTGACACTTGTCCGCTGCTCACCGCCTGACTTAACTTCGACCCCCAGAAAACAGACCCGCCGTTGAAGTCGGAACCGGGCATGGTCATATCTAAACCCGCAGTTGCAGATTCCGCAGTAGAATGCTGTGCGTTCCAGTCCGTCATGACGTATCCTTGGAACCCTAGTTCTTCTTTCAGCAGGGTGTTTAGGGCATGAGGACTGCGGTATCAAGTTAGCGATTTCTGACGCAAGCGATGCCTCGTTCTTTTCAATCCGTGGAATGCATGAGGTTTAACTGGCGCTCTAAGTTCTTAGGGCTGGTGGAGAAAGGTTCATCCTGAAATAAAACGAGGTAGAAGGGGTGGCAACCTACTTCTCGCATGCCCAGGTGCCATTAATCTTGTTATAAGAGCACATGACGGACGCTACGTTTGAGTGCACGGCGTCTGCGAAGGGCCAGAGATACAGCTCGTGAATGGTCCGGTCGTCGACATTGGAGCTCATGGTTTCGCGATTGAGCTCTTGCTCGTTGAGGATGTAGTGTTTCGCATTGGCCTGGACGCCGACACTTTGCATCCCCTCGATGGTTTCCGCCATTGCGATGCCTTGCAAGTAAGGGTCCGCGCCGAAGCCCTCCCAATTTCGACCGCCCGTCGGGTTCTTGCCGAGGGGTCCGGCGACAGGGCCTAACAGGACGTGAACACCGCATCCTTTCGTCTCTTCGGCCATGAACTGCCCGCGTTCTCTCATCAGGGCACGATCCCACGTCGCGGCAACCTGGATGCCCGGGACGAAGGCATTGACGCCCGAAGCGTAACGAACACCCAGAGGACCATCTTGTAGACATAACTGGGGATAGCCGATGGAGCTGGCTGCCGCTGTGTTGCCAACGCAGGGACCTTTGTTCCACCCTACTCCGGTGACGATGTTGATCTTGTCATTCTGCGATAGCTTCGCTAGAGAAGCGTTAGCCTTTGTGTATGCTGCCGTCCAGTCGAGAGTCGCGGCCGCGGATGCCGTAGCAAATCCTAGAGCAAGGGTTGAAGACCGCATTGTCTACGATTGAGCCGAAAGGGTTGATCGGCCAGCGCTCTTCGCAAAGCACAAAGTTATCGCATGCTTCGTGCGAGTCTTATACGATCCATTACACAAGCATATTGGCTTTCTTAAAGGCATTTCGGCCCACCACGTAATTTGTGGCCCCAAACCTTTCGGATCGAAAAGCGTCGTGGGGACCCTGTATCTACTAGATCTAGTAATAAACGGAGGAGCATGAGATGAAGAAGAATGGCATTTTCTTGCCGGGTGCCACGCTTCGGATAGATTGATGCTCTTGTCCCATCTTGGCCAGCGGCATCATCTCAGCTGCTAATTCTCGATGAGTTGAAGATCTACCTTCCAGCGTGGGCAGCCATGGATATTTCCCGGAACGCGGTGGACTCTGAGTGAGGAGAGGCAAAAAGCGCTCTGGTCCCGGGCCGCATTAGCCATATATTAATTAACGCGCCGTCGCTTCCAGGGGCTACCAGGGGTCGTGCTACTTAACCTTGGATGTAACCATACCTGGCTGAATCGTAGGTCCGGGATCGTAGCCAAGAGTAGTTCTACCGAATCTTTGGCGAATCTCTATGCTAATTTGCCCAGATCACGGTATATGCTGGTATGTGGAGTAGATGACATTGTCCCTTTCCATTAGAGTCTCTCTTGAAGGTTAACGAGTTCAACGACACATGTGACCTGCATGAATATTTCAAGCAAGATCAGTGACATTTACATATGAAATTTATATTTGGACGATATTCGCCTCGAGAGGTCTTTACCTACCATTTCGCAAATTCGAAGACAAACTGTATTAGTGACTATTTCACGGTGCGCCATGACCCGCAATCGGCATGATGAGACGGAAGCATCAAGTTGTGCGTCAAAGTTTTCCTATCTACCTACGTGTCTAGAAGTCCATGAACATGTTGAAGACGCTAATGTAGCATCGGAATCAGATGCCGTCATCTAGAACGCCGATAGTCGCAAAGTACGCCATAGCCTTAGCATTGGCCTCTTTGTCCATGGGCTTTCCCGCCTCGGTCAGTTGGCTAAGCAGCTTGAAGTAGTTGATATAGTAGGCGGGCGTGAACGTGTTGAGGAACTTGCACTCTTCGTCGAAGGGATTCGAAAACGTATGCGGTGCGCGGACAGGCACTGTAACGTAGTCGCCTAAGCCGCAGTTGATGACATCGCCACCTTTCACGTGGAAGCGTAGTCGACCAGAAAGTACCAAGAAAGTCTCGTCATGCTGGACATTTATCTGTTAGCATGAACCGCATTCAGATCGTCGTTCCGTGAGATATACCATCTCGTGCCAATGCATTGGCGGCCCGTCTGTATGAGGAGGAATGGTGAATTCAGCGGTGCCAAGTCGGTCATCTTTATCAGTTGCGACTATTAGTATGACGAATACAAGAGCTTACGTAGGTGCTTTAGAAATGGAAAGTATGGAAACTCACGGGTATTGCTGCCGTCTTCCATCACGCGGATTGCTAGGATCTGCCAGTTAATATCTCCCAGATCTGCTTTACAGGTACGAGGCGATTCATACTGATGGTCCCTAGTTTGAAGGAGTCCCCGGCCTTAGCCCGGACAAGATTCACAGCGACGTCCGGCGTCGGTACCAATTGCCTGGCGCTGGTTGCCATGTTGTAGATACCGTTGACCTCGTATGCGAAGGGGATGGGAGGAAATTGATGACCACCAAAAGACCGCGATTACACTTTGGCTTCTTACCTAGCTCCTCGTTTACGTCAGCGATGATGACGCATTTCCACGTGGGAGCTGAACCTAACATACGGATATAGCCATGGATGTGTATAAGTCAGCATCGGATAGAACTAATCGCACTTACCGCAGCTCGTGTGACGCTGCGAAACTCGCTCGGGGCCGAGATGACGAAGCGAAGACTAATTTCTTTCCGAGCAGGTGGTGGCCCAGGTTTACGTGCAAAGGCCATGAAGCGATTGCTAGATGTCGAAATATAAGAATAGGAGGGCCATGGAGAAGGCGTAAATAATTCGTAAACCGTCTGGAGACGGCTTGACGTCGGGTGGCGCGGAAAGTCCAATCGTGGTTCCTGCTGTGAATGTCTATCTCTACCAAAGGCACGCGCGCAAGACGCGATTTTAAGAACAAGGTAGGGTTAATAGCTACTTGATGAGACTTCTCTATCCAAAAGTTGCCAAGAAGGTAAATTCTGAAATTCTATGACCGTATTTGAGCTAATTTCCGCTGTTAGTAGACTCCGATGTGCCCTGTAATAGGGGCTATGCAACAAGCCCCCTCAGACGCGGCAACCTTCAATGAGAGCAACCTGTCTCAATCTTCCCACACATCAATGGAGGATTCGTAATATCTGCATCGAATATCATCTTAATTCATCCGCCGACTGTACCGATTGTGTACTCTCCGAACAGTGTTGGATCGGCCTCGTGGCTTGGCGAAGACAGCTTCTCGGTCCGCGGCTGAAAGGTTTGGAAACCCTCAATCGCCACT